AAGTTATTGATGGTCAGACCGAACAAGCAAGTTGCGGTCTGCGAATTCTCTATATTCTTGCCCAAAATGGCGGTTGCTGCCCAGCGACGCAGCGGTAAAACCCTGCATGATCCGTGATGTCGCCCAACACAGTACGAAGTGGATGTGTGTGTAAAAGATATCACGATGGGGCTCGTTAGTTTCTCTTGCTATGGCAACGTGTTCGTATATATGTTACAGATACTAGTACATACTAAATGTCCGAGTTATCTGGGGGTTTAGTGGAGTCTGAACCACTGGACGAGGCGGGATGAGCCGTCGTGAAATCTGGGATACCGTTGGTTCAACCATGGAACCGGCTTTAGTTTGCGCGATCGAGCACTGCATACATCGAGGCGCCTATAGTGAGCGAGTACTTTGGATAATTACTTTGTATGAGAAACTATAGAGGGTATTGTTTTATATAATATAAATTGACCATTCGTATACAGTATTCTCCGTGCTGCAACTAATGACGGCGTTCATGCAGATGAACTGTACGAGGCATGGAAAATGTAGTCTAGTTCTGGAAGTCAAGCACATGGCTTTGCGCTATCCAACCCAACCATGACACGCCAGCTGATCTAAATTAGTTCCATCGTTAGACATCTGTAAGGCAGCCAGTAGGATCTTTTATAGAATCACACTACGTCTTGGTGGCAACCTTCACGCCTGATTTCTTTTACCCTTGCCGGAGAGTGAGTCAGTCCACCAAGAAATTAAAAAAGAAAATATCGCTAGGCAGTTGCCTTCAGACTGGCAAATTCAAAGATGCCGAGAAAAATGCAGTTGCCCGCTGCGTGATCCAACTGAGGGGCTATCAGCCAAGCGGTTTGCATATAGCGTTCCAATGGAAGTGTCTCCATCTGGACTAGCTTGAGGGGTAGAGACATGTTGATACTTGATGGTACTTTGGCTATGGCAGATTCTCAAGTGATATAGAAAGTACTAGTTTATACTAGCATGGTGACTCGATTGTATTTGCCACATAAAGTTGAGTCATGATGTGTAATAGCTGAGCTCGAGCGCAAGATATAAAAGACGGACCATGTTGTATTATCCAGAAGGAGGAATACTATACTTTTAAATTAAAATATAACTAAGAAAGGAATAGAATACATTGAAATTCTTGAAATTCTTGAAATTCAATACATGTAAGAAATCCAAACGCCACAACCCACAACGCCAACTCACACGCGCCGCCCACTAGCGGATGCATTGATTGGCCTGCGCCAATATCGCCGGCGCTGACATTAAGGATCCATCTTCCCTTTTCCCTTTCATCGGGTTGAAATTTTTCCCTCTGAATTCAAAGCCATTAACATCTTTTGGAGCGGAGGGTTTCTCTGCTCTTTGTTTTCTTCAATCTCCTTTTATCAGGAGATCTTGGGTCTTATCCCCTAAACGCACTCTCTCTCTCTCTTCCTCGGATTTGACCGAAGAACGTTCAAATGCTCTCTCAGCACATTCAGTTTGAACCCTCCTCTCTTCGATCGACCGTACCACGGTGACGGTCCTATCAAAAACAAAAAAAATACCTCTCTGACCTGCAGTTCTAAAGTCGGCGTCGATTTCTGTTTGGCGATATCCTGTATAATATACTTGGTGTTCAATTTTTTTTTGCTGATTTCATTTTAACTGCCTTTTGGATTGTTTGCATTTCCGGCTTGTCGCCTCTTTACATTTATCTGATCGACTTCTCCATATGCTCGTGCGATAATGTATCATTACTCCAGTCCACCGCCCGGGTGGTCCACCTACGAGTACACTCAATCACCTCCCACCTCACCTCAATACGCCTACTACGCCTCTCAGTTCGCCAACTCCTACACTTCTCCCCGGGGCACCTCGCGACGACACAACCGCAAGGCCAGTTACACGGCCACCAAAGAAACACCATACTATACGTCGGGCTACCCCCAAAGCTACTATGAAGCAACCCCAGACTATGGCATTCCATCGCGAAAGCACGATCATGTAAGTGCTTCTTTTGCGGGAAAGCCCAAACACCGATACTCCTCGACCGGTCATCCTACGGGGGATGGCCTCGGCAACGGATACTACCCGTCGCAATCGCAGACTCGACCCATCTTCGTAGATGCGGTCGACGAAGCATTCGATATCCCGCGTACCACCACCCGCGAGCCCCGTACCGGTCGCCAAGGTCGTCCCCCGCCCTCGAACCCCACTCGAGATGGCTCTGGCCAGCATCGTCGCACCACCTCGGCCTCTTATCGCAAATCAAATCCAGCTGATTCTCACTTTTACTTCACTCAGGCTCCTAACAACGAGGATATCGAAGCTGCCAGACGCACTCGTACCAGACGCCAATCCACATCAACTCGCACTCCCAGCAAACCCAAACCACCACCTGCTACTGCCAAACCGCCACCCACCGCCACCGAAGATGACGCCGAACGCGCAGGGATTCCAGCCGGCTATTCGATCAAAAACTGGGACCCTACCGAGGCACCGATCATCTTGCTTGGTAGTGTGTTTGATGCAAACTCCCTCGGCAAGTGGATCTACGACTGGACCGTCTTTCATCATGGGGCATCGACGCCCATGGCCGACGTCGCGGGCGACTTGTGGCTATTGTTGATCAAGCTGGCGGGCAAAGTAAAGAGGGCCGACGAATGCCTCCCTCGCATTCAACGCGTGGAGGCGCAGGAAGTCGTCGAAGATTTCCTGGAAAGTGGCGAGCGCCTCTGGTCCCGATTCAAAAAGCTCCTCAAGGGCTGCGAGCTTTACATGTGGAAGGCCGCCAAGCGAGAAGGTGGCAAAGGGCCCGTATCAATGGGCCGCAATGCAGGTTGTGAATTTGTCGAATCGATTTTCGGTCGCGACCGTGAGCTCGAAAATACCGAGAAGCTCATGAATAGTATTCGTCTCTGGAATATGCGATTCGACGCCAACTGCGAAGACATTCTGCGCCGACCATCGGCTGCATAGGATGTTTTCTTCATACGTTTTTTTATATACCGACTGCCAAGGGAGCGATACCCCCCAAAGACACAGAGGCTTTTCCTACTACTGCTTTTATCTACACTGGAGCATTTGACATTTGTTGAACCGCATTTGGAGCGTGTTGCTTTGGCTTCGGCTGGCTTTGCTCGTCGCATTTACTGTTTTCCAACCCGGCAGATGTTGCCTAGGGTTCGACCTAAAAGATCCTCGTTTTTGTTTTTGTGTTTGCTTTCGGTGCCGGCGCCTTTTTGATCTTTTCATAGGACGGCGTCCTTTTGATCTATTCTCCATTTCTGGCGTCCTCGTTTAATCTTTTTTTTTTCATTTCTGGCCGTCAAGTCCGTTTTTGCCGTTGAAGTCCGTGTCACTCTGCTTCGATGATACCATCTTGCGATTTCTTATATACGTGCTTGTCCTTTTTTTTTGTTTTTTGTCTTTTATTTCCTTTGTTTGCATTACTGTTACCCTGCTTTTTGTTTTCAGTCGGAGGAACCGGGTTGTATATAGAACATCAAAACATCCCCTGACACTTATATTCTATACTATCCATAAACCTGTAAAATACTATTTCCACGTTCAAATAATGTGATGTGATAGCTACCCCTCAACCCTGGGCGCTTCCTATGCAATGCAGTGGATCATTTACCCCGCCCCGTAGATCTAGAAACTCCTGATTTTTTTATGTTAAAACCTGTCAAGGTGGGAATCTCTACTTGTTTACTGGCTGTATTTCCCAAGGTACTACCTAGGTATTCTCTTCAATGACGCAGATGTCACATCCCATCTCAATCACATCTCATCTAAGCGTAACGCCCAGTGAATTTGTATGTTCTCATGCAGGTGATGACAGTTCTTATTGGCTTATGTTTCGAAATTCAAATGCATATGCACGTGGGGGTTACCCGAGAGTGTGGCGATCCTATCAGAGATGAGAAGCAGGGGTGTGGGGGGTTGCGTGCATGGCGTTGTCTTGGGTTGCATGGTGATGGGTTTGAGGCATTAAGGTGGCGGCTATTCAATATTGTGGTTGATATCAAGGTGTCTGATTTGATAATTGAAGCGTTGGGAAATGTTACTTTTATTCTGTTTATGATATGATTAAATAGGGTCAGGGGTCTGTTGTTGGCTTATATATATTGGTTCAGACTTGCATGAATCACCTTCTTGATTTGGAGTTATGCCGAGCTTGTGAGACATTCCAAATGTTGAGCTGGAGAAAAGAGCCGAGCGGCCGTATGTCGTAGTTAATATGTTGTGGATACTGGGAGGTGGGGTGAGATGGAAAGCTCAAGACAGTCTGTTCTTGATAATAAAGCATACCTAGGGCTACTGTACTAGATACGAGCTGGGGCCCGGCCACAAGATTACCTACGTTATAGCCGGGGCCAGGAGTCCAAGTCCATGTGGCCATGCAACCTTATTTGCTATGTCAGACCTATTATCGGGTGTCCTTTGACATGTTTATAAGTCTCAAATTATCGTATTCAATAGATTCCAGAGTTCAAAACATTTGTGTTGTTGACAGTCCAGAAAATAATGATGACGCATGCCGAACAGTCACGGGACCGCCGGCTCTCAGAGCTGCCCAGGTGATTATTGACATCATTTGCTCTAGATACCTAGTGCTTACGCCCTTAAATCTAGTCGATCAGCTGGGATAATATTCGAGTCTATCTTTTAAGAAGTTTTTATGAGTAAACAACTACTAAGGCTGCTACCCGTCTTCTTCCGCCATCCCGATGCAATCTCGTCCTGCCAAAAACAGATGAGAATGCCACCTTTGAAGGTCCCTTTAACCCAAACATATCCTTCCTGGAAAGTGACTTGGTGTTTTAAGATACCTGGAAGACATAGTCCCAAATCTACGAGGATTCCTTGACTTACGACTGCTCCCGATCTGGGCACACGGTCATGCTAGACGAACGATGCATCATGGATCCATGACAGCTCAGATGCCCTCAGACGACAAGTCTGATAGACTACCCCCATTGGAATGGATCCGGAGTCATATTCACATGAGACCACCTGAAGATGACGAGCCACAATCATGGTGGATTGCATCAACGGCCATCCCTCTGATTGCTGCTACAACGGGACCACTCGCCAATGTCATGTCAATCATTGCGCTAGTTATGCCATGGCGAAGCCAAATTCACCCACATCAATATGGCCGTGATGGTACCCCCATTCAAGTGGGATACCCAGACCCTCGTTGGTGAGTACAAAGCAAGAGTTACCCTGAATTAGTTTTTCCTAACATGCATAGGATCACTGCCCTAAATTCCGTTTCACTTGTCTGCGGGATCGTGGGCAATGCATTTCTACTGTGCAATTTTACCCAGGTGGTACGCTATATTGTAGCTTTGCCCGTGACTATCTTTTTGTGGTTCATAGCTACAGGAATCGTGAGTAACGTCTCTGGTTTTGTGTGTCCTAGACCTAACGCTCTTTTGTAGCTTGGTGGAATTACTTCAGCAACAGCTGTCTATGCTCCTCCGGTAGGCATTGATAGGGTCTACTCGCAGGCTTATTGGAGTGCCGTCATTGCGGCAATCCTCTACTTCATCTTGAGCGTCATTTTGATGATCAACATGCTAGGCTATGTCCTAGGTAAATATCCGCAACATTTCTCTCTGACCGACGAGCAACGAACCTTGATTCTGCAAATGACGGCATTGGTAGTTTGGCTATTGATTGGTGCAGCTATTTTTCAGCGAGTGATCGGGCTCAATTTCGCCGATGCATTGTACTTCTCCGATGTCACTGTTCTCACATTAGGGTATGGCAACATAGTTCCGACTAATTCCGTCGGCCGGGGTCTTATTTGGCCATATTCAGTCATTGGAATTATCATTCTCGGATTGGTTGTGGAAAGCATCTTTAGATTTGCTCGCGAGGTTCACTACGACAATGTCATTCGCAAACACATTGAACAGAAACGGCAATCTACTTTCGAGCGATCAGTCGGTTTTCACAAGTTCAAACTTCCACAAGAGACACGCCCGAGTGGTGAAGAAGCTATCACCCCTCCGGCTCTCACTCGCCAAGAATCTGGGTCTCATTACCGCCATCGACATCACCGGCCCATTCGCAACACCATCAATGCCATTACCACGGCGCGCCGACCCAGGATCATTGTCATGCGCGAGGAAAAAGATCGATTTGACGCTATGCGCAAGATCCAGTCCGATACGCTGCGCTTCCGTCGCTGGAACAATTTGATCATCAGCATCGTTGCCTTTGGAATCGTGTGGTCCTGCGGAGCAGTAGTTTTCTGGAAATTAGAACCCATGACCTACTTCGAATCACTCTACTTCTGCTTCACTTCCCTACTTACCATCGGCTACGGTGATTTCACACCGCAGTCGAATGCAGGAAAACCATTCTTTGTCGTATGGTCTCTACTCGCCATTCCAACCATGACCATGCTCATTTCCGAGATGAGCGACACAGTCGTTGCTAGCTTCAAGCGCGCCACAAATGTAGTCGCTGACTACCTGGTGTTCCCTCAATCTAGTGTCTACGAGACATCCTTAGGTCGGATTCCCGGCATTGCTTCATTCATACAGTCTCGCCAAGAGAAAAGGCGCCGACAGCGCGGTTTCCCACTTGAGGGGGCTGAGGAATCCGGAAACGGGAAAAGAGCAGATCCCGGGAACACTGATGAACCTGATATTCAAGGCGATGACTTAGCTGATTCTCATCCCCACCGAGGCCTCGAGGAACTTGCTCGCGATCCGACCCCACTCGAGCTTGCTAAGCAACTTGCTTTTGCTATCCGGCGTGTTACGAAACAGGCACGGGAAGGAAAGCGAAAGCAATACTCCTATGAAGAATGGGTTGAATTTACCCGGCTCATTCAGTTCACTGATCCGCGAGCTTGGCCACTATCAGCACGGAAACAGCCGACGCCAATTGAGGAAGATGAATATGGACTTCTCAATTGGGATTGGATTGGGGAGAGCAGTCCGCTGTTGGCAAAACAGACAGAGCCCCAGTGGGTTCTGGATCGTTTGTGTGAGAGCTTGATTCGGTACGTGTCGACTCAAGAGGAGAGTCGAGCTATAGGAGGTGATGCGGATTCGACGGAGGAGGCAACTCTGAGGAAGGAGAGGGATATTGGGTTGGATGAATGAATCTCTTTCTGTTGTTCATCTATGAATGTACTTAGCTTCTAATAAATACATACCCTTTTAGCATGAACATATACTTCCGAAAGAAGAAGGTGGGTCTGTACACATTGGTGCCTGAATAGTATTCTATTTCTGCCTGCAGATCATGGCCATTTAGTTAGCTATAGTTAGAAGGTGAATGTAGTAGTCTCCCTAAAGTCTAGCTAGTAAATGACAAATTCATCCTCTACTTATTGACACCTGTCTTCAGCAAGCAAGCCCAAACCAGGCTTAGTGGAGTCCCCACATACGTGGGGCTGTGTAAATCGCTAGCTGCGGCTCCGTCGACAACTATATAACCACACCCTGCTGTCTAAATTCAGCCAGCTTATGTCAAACGTACACCTAGGCGATATTTCTACCTCTGCCAACAAACCCCAGCAAAGATGACACCCAACATCCCCGAAATCCTCCTCCTCTGCATGGACATCGACTTCCAAACCACCTTCAACTCCACCCTCAAAACAACCTGGCCAAACCACAACGAAAAACTAAAAATAACGCCAATAAACGAACGTCTAAACTCCCTCCCAGAAAAAACAACCTTCGACCTAATAGTCTCCCCAGCAAACTCCTACGCCCGCCTCGACGGAGCCTTCGACCACGCCATCTCAACAACCTTCAGCCCGCGGGACTACCACGCCCTAACACGCGCAGCGCAGAAGGTTCTTTACGAAAAATGGCGAGGTTTCGCCCCGCCCGGCTCGTGTACTCTTGTCGAGTTCCCGGATGAGCTAAAGCAGAATAAGTACGGCTGCGGGTGGGTGGCTATTTGTCCGACGATGCGGGAGCCTGGGGATGTGCGCTGGGATCGGGAGGTTGTGTATGAGTGTATTTGGAGTTTGTTGTGCCAGGTTGAGGGGTATAATCGTTCTACAGAGGTGGGGAAGATTGGGAGGATTCTTATGACGCCGTTGGCTGTTGGGGTTGGGAAGGTTAGTAAGGAGCGTTGGGCGGTGCAGACGGTGTTGGCGCTTAGGCAGTTTGTTGATGCTGTTGAGAGGCCTGGGAGGTGGGGGAATTTGGGGTGGAAGGAGATTGAGGAGGATTGTGTTGAGATTGAGAGGACTTGGGAGTTGTGAGTTGGGTGAGTTTGGCTAGATTCAAGGTTGTTATAGGTTCTGTCAGTATATATCGATTGTAACTAGCTTAAATGAAGACTATGAGCTAGAGGAATATGTTTTCACTGCAAAACTGTACCTATTGTAGTTCTGTAATTGGTCCGTTACTGCGCTTAAGCTCACCATATCCCTTCAACAAGGTTGCACCTGCAGTGCTGTCCTGCCGACTACATTCCAACCAACACCAGTGACATAACTAGATCGAGGGCTAGTCATGAATAGGATCACATCTGCAACCTCCTCCGGTACTGCAGTCCGAGATATCGGAATAACTGTTCTCATATGTCAGGGAGACCCGGGTTTCCATCAACAGCGTCAGTCACCATAGGTGTATTGAGTCTATTGACCCAACGGGGGCGAACAGCATTAACACGTATCCCATGCGGTGCGAGATCGAGAGCTACAAAACAAGAAACCGTAACCCTAGATTTTGGAATTTATTTATATTTCAACTTACCAGCACTCTTAGTCAAGCTCATCACAGCATGCTTCGTCGTATATGGGACAGTATCCGGCGTCGCGATATACGAATTTCCCGATCCCAGATTTAAAATAACACCTCGACCAACATCACGTATTTCCCCGGTTATCCAAGGTGACAACACTCTGAAATTTCATGACCTCAGCCGCAGACTTAATGCAATTGAGGGTCCCTATCACATTGACCCTGCTGTGACCATGTAGTTGACACTTTCTGTGTCGGTCACATCAACAGCCACGGCATGTGGCCGGTAGGTGGGGTTCGTTGCTATCAATTCACTTTCCTGTGCTGTCTGGAGTGCTGCCTTGTAGTTCAAATCGGCTATAACTACATCCCGGGCTCCTTCTACGGAGTAGGTGAGGGCGATTACCTTGGCGATACCACTGCCTGGCGATGCGATGTTAGGAGAGCTACTATGGATTCGACTGAAAAGGACATACCAGCGCCTGTCACTAATGATACGCTGTTTATCTGGAGAGACATGTTTAATTGACTGCGAAAATATTGAATAAAAGCTCGAGTCAATGGGTATCGTGTCAATTGAAACACTGCTGAAGCTCTTTTTTTATTACAGTTCGTCAACAGAGACAAAGGGTACAAAGCACATTATTCTTGCCCCTGCTCTGCCTGGATCGAATCGATGACGTTCCTAACATCCCTGAGATGAGAATGGGATTTGTTCACGTTAGTCCCTCAATGATGGAAACCAAGTCCGGCGGAATTAAGCTCTGCTTTCATTTTCCTACGTCCGATTGGACCGTTGTTAGACCGAAGCAGAACGAGGAAGTTCAATGCTGGGAATTGGATGAATCAGAGATATTGAAATGTAATAGTCAATGCTGGCCGGGCAGATACCAATTGGAATACCTGATATCCGAAGCAACCGCTTCTGACGGGCTTGAAACTTCCAAAATCACGATCCCTGCAAGTTAGCACCCTAAGCAGCGGAGCTGAAGTAAAAGACAAAGACGTGATCAACGCTATCGCAATATCTTTCTTTTCTCCACTTCCACATTGCATCGGCTAGACGGTCTCAAATGGAAATCCTTGGGGGGGTGTAACTCTATATCACAGCCAAGCCGGACTTCCGCTACACTAGACGATCAGCTCTACAGGAGCCGTTTTTGGACCCTCTATGCTGCAAATCAGCAAGCCACGTCTTACATTGGACCGGAGACATTGGACGCCCACTTTTTGAAGGCTGAAATATACAATGGCTCTTGTTCATAGAACTGGCTCATTGTAAGTCATGTAGTATTTATTGGAGACAGAATATGTAGCATTCACTATTAATCGGAGTACTCTCTATAGGTTATAAGTCATACATCGTTTCCTACCTCTATATTTATCTGAAACTTTTTCGCACGAAAGGATGTTCAGGGTCTTATCTCCGTTGACAAGTGTAACACGGGGAAAGAAGAGTCTCCGGAGTGGAGTCTTCTAAGCCAAGTCTCTACGATATGCCAAGCAATGCATTATCGGAAGCGTTGAAGGTCTTCGGAAGCGCAACAAATGCCGATCTCCCGATTTATCTTCGGAGAAGAGAGGAAGACTCGACAGTATACAACATAAACGTCAAAAGGCGAATGATCTAGAAGGTACAAACGTTGATAGTAAGAAAAAGCCGTTTAACAAGAAAAAAAGATTTCCCCTATATCCTGAGGGGTGTAGGTACTTCGCGCACACCTTCAGACGACTGGCAAAAGCCGCCAAGACCAGTTCTCCTAGGAGTAGTTTCGCAAAAGATAACGACAAACACGTGCGCGAGCCCAGAATTCTCGCCATTGCCAAGATCCTGGCATTCCGCTGACTGCATTGCAGCTGCTCACCTAGATACTCATTTTGGCTTACGGCGAGATCTAGCGTCTTGGTATTCCGCTGCAGATTATGACATCTGAGATTGACCTTGATTGTCTACACCAGAGCTGGGAGGAATTGTGCCGATATTATCAGTTCCTGGGTCCGAGCATACATTTATATCAGAATGAATCGGGGATCTGAGATGGAGGGACTAGGAACGGCGGGAAGGGCGGGAAATGCAGCAGCTTCTTATCTCAAACAGTGGCTGCATTAGATGCAGAATACTTACCGGGATCGTGCATATTATCCCGGTTGATCTTCCTTTATATTACAGTCAGACTACGGAGTAAAGTTCTCCCAATAGGAACAAAGATCATAATATCACAAGCAGTACAGATAGTGGCTTGGGCTTACATTTCGCCGGCTATTCGGCGGTTTCTGTAACCTCAACTGCATTGTAGCGTCGGCGTTGAACCCCATTCTTGTCATTTGCATCTCCTCGGTGAACGCTTGCATATGGGCATACAATTTACCATCAATGGGTGTGATATATGCTGCATATGAGGGTGGGCTTTCTGCTTGGCGAGAGATTTAGTACCGAGGTGTGTACGGAGTACTCCGTACGGAGCATATTTCTATAGTAATTCTGTTACACGTAGAATAAGCTGTGACAGGGTCATGATCTATATTTATTGGCAATTAGGTGTAACCTGTACAAGTGATACTTATCGATGTGATAGATAGTATAGGATCTGTCTTTACCTTAATTCAGCCCTATCCGAGACTGGACCTCCACAATTGCGTGCTGAGCTTCCAGGCAGCAGAATTCAAAAGATTAATTTTTTACTGAAGATAGATCTTAACGGAGTATATAAGATGTAAGAATGGTACTTGTATACATACAAAGTAACTGCATGTGGAAAGTCGGGCCAAACGCCGAGAAAATAAACTTTTCCCCTCGGAAGTCGCCTCGTGCCGACAAGGAACGAAAATTCTGTACTTCACTTGTCTTTATATATTCCCCTGCTCGGTACTCTGTACTCTGTACACACATCCAAAATGGAGAAACCAGAACAACCCCCAACACCCGACCTCGAAGCCCCCAATGTCCCGCCCAAAGAGTCCAGCCTCACCCAACGATGGAAACAGAACCTATCCCCCACACATGCAGACCTAGTCTGTCTAATGCTCACCTTCCTCACCGGTCTATGCGATAGCAGCGCCTACAATGCCTGGTCCTGTTTCCTGGGCATGCAAACAGGTAATCCTCCCCGCAAGGGGTCTCAGCCAAAACCCAAACTAACCACTAACAGGAAACACCATCTTCCTCGGCCTGGGCGCCTCCAACCAACCCAACAACAAACCATGGGGCTGGCTGAAATCCTTCATGTCAATCGCGGCCTTCTTCTTCGGCGCAATGATCTTCTCGATCGCAATGCGCAGCGTCGGCTCCGTCCGTCGCGGAACCCTCTTCATCTCATTCATGGTTCAGACAATTCTCATCGTCATCGCTGTCGCCTTAATCGAAGCCGATCTCATCCCCCACACCTCCGCCGACGCAGCCCTGGACGGCGGCGAGCTATTCCTCGAATTGATCCCGATCGCATTGCTCGCTTTCCAGTCTGCGGGTGGAATGACGTGCGCGCGTGCGTTGGGATATAATGAGATTCCGACTGTGGTTTTGACGAGTGTTTACTTTGATATTGCGTCTGATCCGAAGCTTATTGTTAAGCCGACTACGAATGCTAAGCGCAATCGTCGTGTTGGTGGCGTTGTTTCTTTGTTGGTTGGGGCTATTGTTGGTGGTTGGTTGAGTCGGAGTAGTGGTGGTATGCAGTCTGCGTTGTGGATGGCTGCTGGGATGAAGTTTGTTGCTGCCATTGCGTGGTTGTTCTGGAAGGCTGCGCCCGCGAAATAGACGGATATTTATGGGGTATCTTGTTCTGATGTATAGACGGAGTAGATTACAGTTAGATGTGCATATATCAATGCCAATAGTTTATAATACATATACCGCTGCAGCGGGAATCGGACGTTACTAGAGGCTTAGGGTGAAGTTGATACATATTTACTAAAGAATATGGTAAGAGATAAACCGATTTATAGAAGAAATTTATTGTCTATTTCATTCCTGTCGCAACCACCTGTATCCCGTTCAGGCCAATGGCAAAAGCAAAATCTAACGAGTAAGAGAAGTATAACTAGAAAAATATGCACCTAAATGATCATGTAAACAATGAGTATTCCAAAAAAGAAAAGAGACGGATAGGTTGAAAAAAAAAAGACCTGGAAATCACGACGCCTAAGCAGTCGGAGCCATTTTCATTGCTTTTGATTTAGATTACAGGTTCGATACGCTCCAGATTCATGACCATGTTGCAAATTAAGAAGAAATGAATTCATCACAGGTTTGTCACCATACGGTGGACAATCGGGACCGCACTAGGAGGGAGACTGCCCATCTCGGTGATAACCATGTCGACGTACTCAGCAGGCGTAACATCATACATGATGTTCAGCAGCTGTAGGTTGGGAGTGTCATGCCAGTTCGCAAGAGGGGACGAAGAGGTCTTGTGTGGGATAACAGGAGGCTCGGCAGCCGAGGTGCGGTTTGCACCCTTCTTATTCTCAGGCGGCGGGGGGACATACGCATCGACCGGGTCGCGGACGACGAGAGAGGCAGGGGTGTTCATAGGTAGCAGCTCGTTGGCGTCGGCGATTTCGTTGACGACGATACTGTCGAGGGCGACGCGGTCGGTGAACTTGATCGTCTCGCAGCAGACAATGACGGGGATTTCGACACCACTGGCGCGCTCCTTGGCGGACATGGCGACGAGGGCGGTGCCGACGCGGGAGTACAAGCCGCCGTTACTAGTCATGGCGTGGGCGCCGAGGAAGACCTTTGTGGCGTCCTTGATGGCGTGGGTGATAGCGTGGACGAGGGAGTATTGGACGTCGAGCCCGCACTTGGCGAGGTCGCGGGCGAGGCTTTTGCCTTCGAAAAGGGGCCTTGAGTCGATGATTGATACGCGGAATCGCTTGCCTTGGTTGTGTGCTAGCAGAAGTGTCTGCTTGACAATGCTGCTGCCGGCAAATGTCACAATAACGTCGCCGTCTTGGATCTTCTGTGCGGCGCTGTCTGCAATAACCTGGTCGGCGACCGTAATCTTCTCCCGGATAAAGCTGTCAATGTACTCGCAGAGTGAGATCTTTGCGCTCGCCTCGGGGGTAGAGGGGTCGATGCTGGCAATGAACAGCTTCAAAGCACGGATGGCATTTCCCTGACTGATAGAGAGGGGTCGGCATGTTGAGAGGTAGGTGATCTGATGCGAGAGATGTGTTGTCAGGTGGCGAGCGAGCGAGGTACCCAGGGGAGTCGAGTAAGATTCAATGACCTTTAGAAAGCGACTTGTCAGTATACATAGGCATTTCTTATCGGGATGGAACAAAACAACAACATACTCGTTTAAAGGCAAGCAACGTAGCCACGCAGCGCGCACTGCTGCCGCAGATAGTGTAATCCATCAACTGCATCCCCAGGGCCAGGATGGCATGGTGCACCTCCTTTGTGGCACCGGCGACAGTGACACGGCGCTGTTGTCCGTACAAATGCCCAAAGATAGCAACCTTCTTATCATCCTTCTTTTTCTTTTGCTCAACAAGAACCGATCCGGTTTGCGCAATGGGGCCTGAGCCACGGCGCGGGGGCGGAGCTCGCGGTCCCTTCTGTGCAGAGCCAGGACCGGTGGCATCCTTCTTCGGTGTAGTTGGTGGACGAGCCTGGACTCCGCCACTAGGAATGGGAGTGGTACTGCTGGGGGCACCTCCTTCCTTCTCAAGTTTCTCTCGGATACGTCGGGCGGCCTTCTCGGCCTTGGCTTTCTTCTTCAGCTCGGCTGGGCTAAGCGACTTCTCTGTGGCGCCGTCAGTGGACGCGGGCGCATCTTCGGTGGGCTTGGTGGGTTTTGAGTTGCGGATCGGGAGAGTCTGAGAGTTTTCGATCGCGGGTTGAGCTTGCTCTGGTGCCGATGAGGCAGGTGTTGAGGCCTGCGTGGTCGGCACTGGATCGGAGGGTTCCGTCATCTTGTCTGTGAATTAATTCGCGTGTGAGTGTGGATCAGTGAAGGTGGTGGGGAGAGGGAGGGTTGACTCACGGAAAAAGAAATGATGCCATAAGCGGCCCACGGAGCGGCGCAGCCCTAACTTGCGGTTCATCGTGATACAATAAACAGTTTGTATAATTTTTGAATTGCTCTTGAATGACACTTGGATGGTATTCGCCTGATTATTTGATTTCAAATAGCAACAATTTCCTACTAACTAAATGACGTGATCTCAAATATAAGAGTTCGGCCTGAAAGAAACTCGTGATACCCAATGATCAGAGTAGTTAGCATTGAAAGATGCATAACATCAAGTGTCTCATTATTCATCGCAGGGGCTCGCTATAACAGAAATAAGTACATAGGCCCAAACTAGTCTGGTCCCAATTCAAACAAGAAAGTCCTAACAAAGACTTCAAACACCCCAAAGGGCATCGGAGAAACGCAGACAAAGAGACAACCGCCAACACCATTCAATCCCTGTACACCCAGAAGATAAAAATAGAGGCATATCCACATATTAACAATTGCCAACTATGGTTCTCAAGGCACGCCGTTTCCGAGTTGTATGCTCCTCGATCGGACGGAACCGTTCATGGTCCGTGGCCAGCTTTCTCTTGAAGACAGTCAGGTCACCAAGAAGATCATGCATATGATTTTGCATTTGCTGCGCCTCTTGCTCGGTGCCATCATCGGTGATAGTATCATCATCTTCCCAGACGTCCATGTCAGATTCGGCATCTGATACCAACGGAGAGCCTTCGCGGTCTTCTGGATCATGACTGGGCGGTTGATTCTCATCTTCGAGAGACATAATGCTAGGCTTTCGTTGCTCGAGGGTTATAGCTGGGATTGGATTCTTGAGACTCTCAACCGCTAGCTTTAGATGCATGCGCAAAGCGTCGTTTTCTGTTTGCAGTTGTCGAATCTTGCATTCACTGACCATCTTATTCTCCTCCATGAGACGTTGCATTTTCTCAACTTTCTGTTGGTATTCCTCAAGCTTTTCATCGGCGGCCTCGCTTGCCCGCTGGTTGACTGCAGCTTGGCTCACGCTGAGTTGAAGGGTACGAATGGTCTCTGTCATCTCCGCAATCTGCTGATCACGCTCAGCTGCCGACATCTGATCTTGGTTGACCCGTGCCCGTGTCCGAATATTCTTGGCCTGATCCGCATAACGAAGAGTTGAAAGAGTCTCTTCATAATCGGCAGGTGCAATACAGGCAATCATCGCAGTCTTAGAGTTGCCGCCTAGACTGTCCTTCAATAGCCATGTTAGGATCGAGTCGCGGTATGGTACCAGTTCTTTGCCCTTTCGTGGGCCGCGGAGCTTTTTGGGATCTGCGAGCGCTGCGATAACACGTCCTAACGTAGTTAAGGACTTGTTGATATTCGCACCTTCACGAAGTCTAGCGCCAGTCGCTTCGGTGGATTTGGCACGCTCGGAACCTGCCAGGTCGACCAACCGAATCCGAGCAGTGCGCTCAGTCGTTTCATCGGTTGACAAGTCGTGGTGGATCTGTTTTAAAGTGATGGTAAAGACTGCATGGGATCGAGATGACGTGTCATTCATCTTTGTGCTGGCCGTAGTTCGGGAGACATCGCCCTTTCGCATAAATTTCATCAATTCGGTGTAGTTCCTAGCGGTAACCTCCGTCAAATCCTTAACATATGGACCCTCTGATGGCGATTCACGAATGCGGAGATAATGTGGGGGATCTGTTCGTGGCACCAAAAGATCGCGAACATGCTCGTTGTACACCTCAAAATAAGACACCCGGACATTGTAGCTGATATCGGGAGAAGGTGAATTCTCAATGCGCTGGAAGAGATCTTCGCATGTTCGAGGAATCAAGCCGGGCCTTTCTGGTGTTCCCATCATGGTGTAACTTTTTCCTGAACCTGTCTGTCCATATGCAAAGATACACGTGTGATATCCTTCGAAATTGTGATCCAAGAACTCTTCCCCGAGAGCATTGTACACATCTTCCTGGTGTGCATAATGCTCATCATCCTCATTATGGGACCAAAACGAGTTATCGAATGTAAAAGACTTATCCTCCAAGGTCTTGCCGCGGGCCTGTGACTTCGGTTTTCCTTGGTCGCCGGGTTTCGGTTTCGGTGCTTGAAGGCATGTCACCTGCGTGCGCGGGTCCATTGAAATTAAACATTCTGCCTTGCGATCGATTTCTACAAGAGGTCAGAATACTTTTGGGGTACACCTCCCCGCATCCCTCCCAAACACCTACCTCGAGGTAAAAATTTCCGCACTCGCACGACGACGCGTACATTTCCCCCTGGTGTCGGACTAGCCATCCCATCTCTGTTGGATATTGAAAACCCCTCTCGCGCGCGGAAGGAAGGACTTGAAGCTGTGGATCGGAGAGTAGCGGCGGAAGCGGAGGTGGAAATAATGCTAGGTGAGGTGATTCCTGTGGCGGCCGATAAGTCGGATGAAGCGGCTGAAGATATCGATCCTGGGCCTGGATGGCCGATATGTTGATAGAAGCGCGGATCTAGCGCCATGTCCCTACTGCTATCGCTCAATAGCTGCACACAAGCGGTGACGGCGTCGCGTCGTCGATCAAAAAGAGAGTGGTACATGCAATAGGATTTACATAGAATGTAATTGACAAAAGGGGAAACAAAAAGATTGAAAAGGGAATATGTCTGGAATGAAAGGGGGAGGGAGGGGTTTGGTACTGTTGCGCGTTATTTCCTTGGGGGGAAATTCAGTTTATAGTAAACACACGTTGTGAGTCTAGAGCATATTTTGTGAGGAAAGAATGTATATAAAAAAAGAAAGAACGAAATTGAAAAAGAGTTGGAAATTGACAATAATAGTGATTTCCAAGGTTCTACAACATCAAAGTGTCACCGTCTATAAGATCTTGTTGCCATAGCAATGGCACGCTAAGCTCCACTATATATAGTTGCTGTACAAAACCCATTGAAACATATTGAAACCTGCATTAACTCGTATATCCCTTTTTTTACAGTATAAACAGAAATCAAATAATTGTTCATTGTTAAAAACCCCCTTCGAATCAATTCCTTTAAGTACATTCACGAGTCATGATCAAATTCTGAAGTATCCGCGGTCATAGCCTCGACCAAGTCGATATCTTCATCATTAGGCTGTTTTGTAGGGCCCCAGCTTGGATCAGGTACTGGGTTGCCATTAGAGTCCATGTGTTCACTCAAAAGTTCAGAAGGGCCCATCTCGCTGTGGGCGGCCTTTTGCGTAGCATGATTTCTGGATCTGGCGGCAGGAGCTTCCATGCCCCGGTTTTGCCCTTTGTCCTTAACCATGATATCTTGGTAATGTTAGCGAGAGTTCATAGAGCGTCATGTCCTCCACCGTCATCTCCTGACGCTCTTCTAATATGGTGAAATGGTGAAGGCTATAGCATACCAATAGTTGTTTGGTAGTGGTGTATATTTTATTGTTTGGGTGATTGATTCTAACAGCTAGTGAAAACTGCCTCTATTTATGGGCAAGCGAGGGTGGTGGCAATGATTCGATCATGACGATGACATTTACTATCACTTTTGGTCCTTCTCCGCAGTTGCCATTCAAGATGCCTCTAGTCGTGCCACTGATTCTATCGTGTTCTGGGATCTGATTTTGGGTGAGCCAGTCAATTGATTCTTGCCGTGGGTCATGGTTGGTCTGAGGCAATTCATGGAAGTTGAATGTATGGATATGTCATCATAGGTCTTTTGCCACGAAGCTCTGTTTTGTTATGATTTTGAAGACTCCACAGATAGTATCTTCTTTATCCATCTGTATGGTGGCAATCGAAGCGCATTGATCCTGTTGGACTAGTAACTACCCTGGTTGAGGGATGTTTCACAGGCCAACTATGATCGATCCGTACTATGCAGCTGAGAGCAAGTGCCCTTGAGCTATTGAAACCCTTGAGCTTACACGCCCATAAGTTAAGAAAGCCAGGCCTCAAAATATATCTCTGAGCCCTTTTGAGGTTAGCGCAGCCCTAAATGGAATGCATCAGTTCCTCCGAGGTTTACAACCCAATGTTTGCGGGGCCCCGGTGTTTCTGTGGCAATATATCGGGCATAATTATAAGCGGTGAGTTAGGCGGTAAGAAATACCCAATGAACCTGTGCCCAGAACGCCATAGATGGTGGGAATGACTACAATTTATGGGGGTTTCCCTACTAACTGCACACCTTTAGACCAATTTAGGTATGCATAAAGCTTCTTGGACGAGTGTTTATCACATGACTACGTAAATTATCATGGTACCGAGTCGTGCTGAGTACTATGTAGCACAATATACAGTGACTGGACAGGGAGCCCACCTGGGCACATCCCTTTGATTATATAATATACTGCCAGTCAAAACCCTCCATATATACATACTATGGAATCTGGTATGAAGTATACCACCCCTGACTTTCCCTAATAGCTTCCACTCTGTGTTGAATAGTCTCAGAGAGATTCTCCAAGTGTCTAATTTCTCCCATGTCTACTGCGCAGTAGCAACCAGGATCTCCTTTGTAGTGTCATTGTTCCCCATCTGCAGGATACTATGAGTTTTAGGTAGGCGGTATGGATATATATGGGCGGTTAGCTGGGTGGGTCCACAGGCGATGCAAATACAGTATGTTGTACTCCGTAAGTTTTCTACTCCGTAGTCCGTACCTTTCTGCATGATCATCCTATATATACACAAAAAGGTGAACATAGACGCTCAAAATGTAGCATTTCAATTGGCAAGGTCTAATTCATATAAATTCACTACATCCGACCGATTATTCTAGGTCTCTGGATGAGAGAATAGGACAGTTAACTCATGTGACAGGCGTGCTAGGCACCACAGGCCGGATAAACCCACTTGTCCGGAGTATATATAACCCGAAACCTGGGGTATAAAAGACCCCACCTGAGGAAGCTCTTTGATTTTTTTTTCTTTCTCCTTCTCAATCACTGGCTCAAGGTCAGTATGGTACGTGTCCTCCCGGGGGATATAATTAGCAACCAATTTTTGGAACTACAAGGCAGCTTGTCTGCCACTTTTCATCACCCTGTTCGCCATGTGCGGGCGCGTGGAGAAGAGTTACATACAAAGAGTTATATACATACCTTGATGCTAATACATAAGTACTGATCTTTATGTGCTACGCGTCATAAGCTAACACCTTGTTATCACAGGTTTTCCCTGGGCTTCTCAGCAGAGTTGAGCCTGTTTAAATCGCGTCTATGTCTACGAAAGGCTTCTAGATCGGTGCTCGCCTTATGATAGTTTCAAATTTGTTATTTTCGACGCCGACCGTGATACCTTCGAACCCGACCCTGATGCCTTCGATCCCTGACATGGATATTTGATATCGAAACCCACATTTGCTCGGAGAACACCGTTAGCAACTGGTGTTTGAGAGAGACAACCAGGGGTTGTCTCTCTCTAGTTAGATACTCCCCGTAAAGAAGCTATCTAGACCTAGGTGGTATTTAACCCAGGCATTGATAGCCTTCTTTGCAGGCGAGGCCGTAACCGATACGGACGGCAGTTAATGCAGACAGCAAAGATGCTATTGCAATGGCCTCGAACCCCGAGTTTCATGCGCCTCCAGCCAACGCACATCGCCATTCCATTCCATCACCTTCGAAAAGAAGTGACTGTTAGGGAACGACATATGTTAAGACCCCTACTGCTCATGGCGTTAAGAGTCAAGACTGTGTAATTATATGGCACTCCCGCTCGTCTCTGCTATCTCTATGGGCAGGTCTCTTGACAGTACACATGATATCCATGGATTAATAACCAATAACATCTATTGGCAGGTGGACATGGTTAAGGCTCGCCCGCCAAGCGAGTCCCTTTGGGGACCAGAGTGAATCTGAGGTGTCACATTTCTTGTCTTCAACTTTTCCGCCTGTTCTTTTCAAAATCAAAGCATACATCACAGGGATGTATGGATTTATTCGACTCTAGGGCCGCAGTGGGCGAAGATTAGAGCACTTTCTAAGCTTACTACTAGACACGTCAATAGTTCATCTATGCAAGGGTTGTACTCTCCACGTGATATGAGTGGAAAAGCTATAGTGGATACTCTCGGATAATGTCCAACGCCAGACTTTTGTCACGGGTGTACATAACTAACTACCCAAGATTTATGCCTGATTTTAGACCGCTTTTGACACCGCTCTAGACAGTATGTACTCCGTACCCATGTTTATTTTCTGCAAGTCTAAAATCTGGCAGAATCAGGCAGTTGAGCTGGGGCCGCTACGCCAAGGGTTATTCTGCCGTCAACATTTACACGCCAATAAGCCATGAGCCTGCCCTACTCCTTAACAACTCATTGACAAACTATTCTCACATCTCCCAAGATCTCAATAGCGGGATCCAAACTACCTCAAGATGGTACATGCCCAAACCTTAACTCCCTTCAGGATTCCCAAGACAATCCACCATATGTCAAGTTAACACTGAAACCACCAGAGCAAAGACTCCTCCGCCTCATACCTACACATGCACCAGCCACGGCTAGCAGACCTCTTCGAAGAATTTACACGCCCACACACCTCGACAGCTACCAATTCAACAACAGACCCACACAATGCCAACAGCGCCTCCGCCGCAAATCGCGAAGCATCGAACACAGCCGCGAACGCCATGACATACGGCTCTACATCTCCCTCCACAATCCCATCGTACCTACCAATTGAGGACATCTATGTGGCACCGCATTACCAGCCCCCGAACCCTGAAGACGAGGACGACGTCGTCCCAGACCAGCATGCGGCCTTCGGCATTACCCGCGCCATGGAGCGGAGACGTGACCCTGTGTGGCGCGATCTGGGTCTTGAGTCACTCGTTGATGGCGAAGGACATGGGGCTGATTCTGGGCCTTTGACTGGTTCCGGAGGTACTGGTACCGCCGGGGCTGCGACTTCTGGGCCTGGGGCTACGCTGAGGGGTAGTGGGGGTGGTGCAGCGGCGGCAGGGGCGCCTGTTATTAGGGTCAGGGATTCTGGGCGGAGGATGGGTGGACGCAGGGTTATTGGGTTACGGTAATGGGTCTCAATATTTCTGAGACTGCGGAGCTGCCTTTCTACAGCGGTCGGTGCTGCGAGCTTTCTACCTGGCTGGGCGGGTAAATGGGTGTCTTGTGTTACTTGCATTATTACTGGAGCATAGTTTTGGGGGCCAAATAGCCTTATGATACCCACGTTGGATGTATCCTTCTGTTATTGTGATATATCTTAAAGCTCATTGATTCGTTTCCATTTGCGATTTTGTTCTAAGAACCGCCAATATTCAATGGCTGCAGACCTAATATAGGCTGAGCCTTAACGCCGCGCGTAATGCGATATGATTATACATGCCCCTAGATACGATTGATGTCGACCCGAGCCCGCTCGTAAAGGTTATGGCTCAGCTGTTTCTGATCGCGCTCTTCCTCTGCCACCAATCGGGGGTGGATGGTCATTTGGGCGTATGAGCCTGCGCCGCGACGCTTTGATAGGGTACCCGGGTTGATGACTAGTACGCTGTCGACGACCTGCAGAAAAAACAATGTTAGCACCATCGAGGAAGTTGAAAATGAAAAGCTAGTGTTAGAGATAACATACCTTTACGAAAGGCGGTAGCATACTAGGCACAATTAAAATATCGGGCCGAACATTCCACCACTCGCCTAGTTTCAAGTAGGGCACATCCAACATAGCGCCTGTAGCCATGCCACCTTCGAACGCAGGCTTTGGAAGATTTGACCGCGAGGTCGGAGGGAACAAGGGGAAGAAATGGCGTTGCTCGACGAGATATTTGGGCAGACGAGTGAGAAGGTTACCCTCTTTCGGCCGGCCATGCAAGACCTCTTCGCGGCGAAGCTCGGAGAGCACATCGTGTGAGCACATTCCAATGACGCATTCGTTGAACGATAGTGTGACAGGATTCGAGACGATGCGGGCCTGCTTGGGCAGACCTGTTTCCTTTCTGAGGAGCTGTTCTTGGGGCCAGGAGACATGTCGGCTGAGTGCATCTCGCACTGACGGAACCATCACGATAGTGATGCTTGGGACGGCAGCTGCAAGTCGTGCTAGTGGCGCTGAGATACAGTGCCGGAACATTACGGACAGCGTGGCTGTGTCCGGGTCGAGGCCCTTGATGTCTGGCAAGTCGAAATCGCCCGATGCAAGAAGAGGGTGCGCAATGTCCAGGAACGGTCCCATCAGCACTAGAGTATCGGCGTAGCTTTCCGCTGCTTTCTGACAAAGTTCCTGCAGTGGCTCGAAGTCCAGGTTGTCATCCGCTGTGTACGGCCCTGCCGCAATCATGAAATTAAGCGGTGGGTTTGAATCTGCTTCAAGTCGCTCATTGATGCTGTCTAGCGCCATAGCTGAAGATACCGCTGGTGGCATCAAAGGCATTGGAAGCACTTCCTTGATAGTGAAATATTCGCCAGAGGGGTTGATTCCTCGGAGGGCCACGATTTGGCCTGGGAAAAAGTTCACGGAGGGCACGGAATCCACCTTCAAGGGGACTCGTCTGCCGGCTCCGGTCCGGCGCGAAGTCTCAAGTACGAGGGAAGCTGGGTTCAATTTCCCCTCAAGACTGTCAGAACAGATCCGCCCGACAGCAATAATCTCGCTTGTGCTCTGGATAGCTGCACTGCCGAATGTAATATCGTCGGAATTGAATTCTGCCTGGAATATAGTCGCGAACTCGTCGATACGATCGTCCAAAATCTCCGATGCTTCTGACAATTTCATGCCCATGGGCTTGTAGCCAAGTTTTTTGAGGTCCGTATTTGCAGTTGGCTTGATGCGCGCCTCGGAAAATGGCGCCATTGGAGTTTCTGGCAAGGATAAGTGCGCATTGAGGGTTTCAATCGTCTGGCCAGGATTCGGTCGATCGGAGAACGGAACTGTTCTGCCCCAGTTGTTAGCACTTCAATACATCATTTACGTCGAAAAGGTACCTACTGAATTCCATCGCCAGGTGTCCCAGTTGGTGTATTTGTGCCGGCTTGTGATCCAAACTTTTCGAACTTGCTGACTCTTGGTGTAGCCGGAGAGGAGAATTCGGCCTTGCGTTTTGCAGATCCAAATCCATTCCCCGTTCGAGCATTCGAGCCAGTTGGTGTTAATTGATCCAACATCCCAAACATGTCACCGCTAGCTGCGGCCGCGCTGCGCGGAGTTGCCGTGTTCGGGTTTCGTTTTTCTGTGTGTCGGCCAAGTTTGTCACGAGTTTCACGCTCCAGAGCTTCTTGGACATCTTGTTTGAAGCCTCGCACTGTTTGCATGCTTAATGTAACCCCCTCGCCCATCTTTATGCTGTATGATTCCCATTTGTAGAAGAGCTCCTCCGCGGGAATTGAATGCACCCGCAACATGGAGAGGAGCTCGGCAAGGATGTCCTTTGGAATTCCATCGGGAAATGAGCCCGCAAAAAACTCATTGAGCTCTGCCTCGGCGTCCATTGTGGCGAGGTGTATATCGTTGGAGGACAATGGACTTTGAAAGTGTAGACACGCGCAAGACGCGTGACACCGTGTCGCTGACCTAATCAGCCTAAAGGGGTAATATTATTCGAGCATTTGATCGGAGTGGACCTGTCGACTACGAGAATTGTGATTCGCTTGCCCCTTAGATTTATTCATCAATTTTTTAGATTTCCACGTGTCATTGTATAATCTATAAATCTATAAATTTAGATATTTAGATCCCATTCATCATGTCGAACTCTGAAGGCGCTACTGCGACTGCGCCTGCGCCTGCCAATGGCGATATTGTGTCCGATACCAACGTACAGGCACCGGCCCAATCAGCCCCGGTGAACGCCCAGGCCGAGTCTACCCCAACTGCGAAGCCAATTGAGCTTGAGCTACCAAAATCTGCCGCAGACGGCCTTATCCAGAAGCCTTTCGGTAGACCGCTGGACACAGCCAAGCCGTCAGCTCCCGCGCAGCTTACTCCGGAGCAACAATCCAAGTACGAGGCTGTGTTGAAGTCTGCTTCATCATGGACTACAGTCGCCACCAAGGCCGAGAAGAATGCCCCGACGTCTCCCATAACCGAGGATGAGAAGATGTGGTTGACCCGCGAGTGTCTCCTGCGCTACCTACGCGCAACCAAGTGGAACGTCTCGGAGGCGGAGACACGGCTGCAGAGCACCCTCACATGGCGCCGCGAGTATGACCTGAAGAAATTGACACCCGAGTATATTTCAATTGAAAATGAAACCGGCAAGCAGGTGCTTTTGGGTTATGATATCCACGCACGGCCATGTCTGTATCTCTTGCCCTCCAACCAGAACACGGAGAGGAGTGATCGCCAGCTCGAGCATCTTGTCTTCATGCTAGAGCGGGCCATTGATCTCACTGGACCTGACCAGGATACTCTTGCCCTAATTGTCAACTTCAACGAGACAAAGTCTGGCCAGAACGCAAGCCTGGGTCAGGCCAAGCAGACTCTCGGCTTCTTGCAAAACCACTACCCCGAGAGACTTGGTCGAGCTCTAGTGATCAACGGTTAGTGATTCCATATCCTAGGGGAACTTGTGGCGAATTACTAATATCTTATCATAGTGCCATTCGTTATCTGGGGATTCTTCAAATTGATCACTCCTTTGATTGACCCCAATACTCGACAGAAGCTCAAGTTCAATGAGGACCTGCGTCAACATGTCCCACCTAGCCATCTTATGAAGTCTGTGGGCGGTGATGTCGAATTCCGCTACGACCATGCGTCTTACTGGCCCACCTTGAACAAGCTGGCTGATCAGCGACGTGAGGCTTACCGTGAACGCTGGGTTCAGGGCGGCAAGCAGGTCGGCGAGTTCGAGAACTACTTGAAGGGTGCGGACGTTCCCAGCCTGTCTCAGACCCAGGTTGATGCCAAGGCCAGCGAACAGTCTTGAATTGGAGTGCATATCATTTTGCGCTCATTTTGATATATTTGTAATTTTCGGTTGCCAGTTATCTCCTTCCTTTCTATTGGTCAAAATCGGGCATTTTCTCACAGCGCTGGGCGATTCCTGTTGGCTTCTTTACATATACCGCTTTGTTTCGACACGTCTGTTCATAGCCATGTCATCTTTGTCAATACTTAAGCGATAGAGTACACACATTTAGATACCTAATTTTTCTTCTTCAACATTGTTTATTGTCTCACATACACGCTATTTTAGACAGTTAGAGAATATAAAAAAATGGTTAATGATTGTTTAGATTTCCCATTAGTTAATTGGCTGCCCTGTAGCAGTAGACTCCAAACTTATCTGCACGCACGCATCTTACTGAAGATTGATGGAGACAGCTTAGGCTTACGAATAAAAATGCCGGGCTTGGCTATTAACTATATGCAGACCATAACCAGTTGAAATGCGAAGTAGTTCATTGCTGTGTCATAACGATAAAAGTAAGCAGGAATACATGTAGCTGGATGCAGTCGTCGTCTCTATAAATTTACATAGCTTCCAATATCGACATCGTCTCTCATCAATCTTCACTCCTGTCAGATACCATAAATCAAACTAGCTCATTCATATCACCACTCAAATTCCTGCGAAATAATTAGTCAAGTTCCTTTTCATTTTGCACCCTCATTAGCTTACCTCAGTATAGAGTGTTATCGATGGCCCATCATTACGCAACTCATTGTTGACAGCCTCCCGTGTTGTACTCATAAGCTGACTAGGACCGCAAGCACCAACAATGATGCGGTCGTCTAATGTGCCGCTCCCAGCGGCGGCGGCGGCGATCAAGTTGCCAATATTCGGGCGCCCCGGCAAGATCCCGCTGACCAAAGAAGAAATATTGCTTGTAGAATCTTGGCTAACGCCTTTCTCAGGGTCGCTTGTTAAAAACGCTGGAGAGTCTTCTGCTTGGATTACAGGGGCCTTTTCAGATACTTCTTCTGAGGAAGAGCCCGCAGACGTGGATGCCGATACGACGGACAGGCCAGCCTGACCGGAGACGTGAATGAACAGATTCACTTCTGGATGAGACTGAAGTTGTTTGAGCTCTTGGACATACCATTCGAGGCTCTCTATGGGACATAGTTAGTTGATGGGAGCATGCAACGATTGTTATTTTTGAAACTTTTAACGTACCTAGATTTCTTACTACCCAAATAAAATCAATCGATTTTACTGCTTTGGTAGATGTCGTGATCAGGTCTAGTGCAATAGCAAATGTGAAGCTAGCACCGCTGCCACCGGCGACAAGAACGACTTTGTCGAACACTTTGAAGTTGGGGACTTGGCCGTATGCACCTTCCACCGAACAACGTAGAGATCTCCCTGGTGACTCCTGGGCAGCTTTATACAAGTCCCGCGTAAAGCCATCGTACACTCTGATAACGAACTCGGACGGGTTCGAAGATACTAGAGTGAACGGGTGGCTTTCAACCCAGCGGATGGCAGGAACCCACAAGAATGCATGGGAACCTGGAGTGCAGTGCATGCGACGGCTGAGTTTCACTCGAACAGCATTGTTAGGCAGAGCTGTGACAGTGAGAGAATTTCCGAAGAAGTTCCAGACTATCTTTGCACCGCGGATGATGCGGTCCATAGTCCAAATGCAGGCAATGAAAATCACGACAATGACCGACGAGGTTTTAAATTTCGGACGGTGCATTCCGACTGTGATTACAATCAACATGAACATGAGTATGTGTAGCATATAGAAGACTATAATCATTTAGAAGTGGACAGTATAGGAGTACACGAAGGAACAACTCACGTTCGTAATAGCCCCGCATGAAGTATGTGATAGTTGAAAGGCCAATGATCACCATGGCAAAGCCTGCAATTGCACCGGCATAATTACTTGTTTCCTGCATTTCGTATAGGGCTCCGTGCTCTGACCAGGCAGATAGGTATACTATACCATGCACAACGCTTGTGAAGATGCATGTATAGCCGGCGACCTTGTGTAGCGGGCGGAGCTTTTCGTAGGATGTGGCTGTCAATAGTGCGAGGGGCGTATTCTTCAAAGCTAAGAAGACCAATAGTGTCAAGTTTGCGACTGAAATCCTGTTCATCCATGTTTGTCAGTTTCTAGAGCACAGGAGCAGATAGTATCAAGGAACTGCACGGACCAGCCAAATCGTTTCGCAACCTAGGAACTTGTCAGCAAAGCGTATACCAGGCCATAGAACAAACGAGGTTAGCTCACATTGATGAGATTGGTAAGATCAACATTAGTTACAGCGAGTATCAAATTTATAGCCCAGTAAATGATGTATAGAATAGACCGGTCTGTCCTTAATCCCATCGTCGAGGTGGAGAGGAAGCGTCGAACTTGTCTGTTACATCCAGATGATCAGTATTATCATTGACTCATAGTAACAGTGAACATACCTATACTTCCGAGTCAATGTAGGATGCTTCCTCCTTCGACCATAATGAAAGTGAATGACACTTGACCAGTGATATACAGCAAAAAGAACCATAATTGCGCCGATAGCAATGGCATAATACTTAATGCTCCAGACATTCTTTGACAGTCGCAGCTTTTTCGCAGCAGTCGTTGCAGCGACTGTTGCAGGATCATTTGAAGCTTCGTGGCCGCTCATCGTGACTCTTGCAGACAGATTCAACGTGGAAGCTCGAAGATAAAACATGTAGGATCAGCAAGCCCTGACAGAGAAGGTCCATTATTAATTCCGTTCCCTCTCATTTGACTGTACCGGATAAAATCGTGCCAAGAGGGATGGACTATAGACCCCACTGCCTCTGAGGATACGCACACTCGGTCTAGTTCCGTGTCTCACGGGGCATACTACGTAAAACGGAGCACTACCTACATTGGAACGCCCTAAGAGCCGTCTTCCCAAGCCTACTTAGGAAATGAGACGAGCATATCATTGGTGCATATACGTAGGTGGAATAGGGTTTCAGAATAAGGTTGTCCGGACACTTCTTTCACTAGCCTCGAATAACTATACAACTCCATTAAATGACGTTTTCTTCAGGGTCCTGCATCTGTTCCGCAGCGGAAGTTTAGCGGGTGTTCAACGGACGATCAGCGGATTTTTAGCGGACGATCAGCGGTGGAAGTATATTGTTGGACGTTTGCAACAAATGAACAGTTGATTAATGTTTGCTATATATTAAGCGGTGGTTTACCGGCCGTTCAATTCTTTTCTCAACCCTTCTTCCTCTAGTGATGTCCGTGTCTACGATGATCGTCTTCTGGTAAGACCGGAGTGGACCATTGGCCAAGCCCCAAGTCTAGGCATTTTAGGCATTCATTTTATGGCCTACGGGGAGATCTGTTAGAACACGGAGCTATACCTCGAAAGAGAGCAATATGAAATCACATCGACTCTTGGTAAAATCCATGAAGGGCTTTTATCGCACAGGGAGGCTGAGTAGGTAGGCTGAGGGTATCCATAGATAGCAATGGAACCTTCCAATGTTGAGAAAGTTAAAAAATTTATCTAATCAATCAGATAAAAACCTTGGAAAAACACTGTCTCAAATCTTATTAAACTTTCTTCAGATGACTTTTTTTTCCTATCTTCACATAGAAAGTTTGGTGGCGCTAATTGTGGAACACCGAGATAAAGACGTCACCTGCGTGCATATGGCGGAGTAAGCATATTCCTGCAGAAAATCATATAAAGTGGCTGATACGAGGTCATAGAGTATGGGGTAAAATAGTCGGTTTTCATTGCTGCATGATCAATTCGTCGTACTGATTCGGATTAAAAAATTCCCAGCGATTCATTCTTCATCAATAAAAGCTTGATGTGTACAGGTCAACCCAGGGCTGTGCATTCGAAGTTCCAAAGTTCCAAGATAAACAAAGTTTTTCACTTCTATGTCGGTGAGCGGGTACCTAGGTGTGGATGGAGTCCTAGTTAGGTATACCTACCGTATTATGATAAGATTATCAATCAGTTACAAATATGTCCTACATATGTAGTAAGATACTAGTGCGCGTTAGCAAGTGTCAGTATCCATGTCGTTCCAAAATATCTGGACAGGGTTGGTCAAGTGATGAGAAGAATTCAGATTTTGGGGCGCGTTTAGCGATATTTCCTGCTCCCAACAAGCCCTGTATTACAGAAAACATCCCGACGACCTTTTGAACTTATGGAACTTAATTGATTTAGCAGAGTGGAGCGGTGCGGAGTCCGTGTCGGGCTATGCTCCGTGTCAGGGACCCTGCATGAAAGCTTAGTGAGGCTTGGCAGAATGGATGGTAAAATTACTGTATGTAGCTCTGATTTGAAGGGTAATTTTTCATTTTACAAATTGCAAGTCCTCGTTACCTCGGTCTACAGCAGTCTATTACCGGTAGTCCCGTGCTCGGCACCTTGCCCAATGATTCCGCTCTTGCCCAGCCCTCTCGCCATATGACCCCGTCCGATATTGGAACGGACAGCCTTGTCGCGGCTGATTGAATCTAGAGAGCCAAAACGCCAGTCACTGCACGCTTGTCCAAAACGGGGGGTGTTGCCTCCACGAGTACCGGATCTTCATAGGGACGCCGCAGAATAAACGCTCTGGCTCTGGCCTTGGCCCTTGCGACGCTGTTTATAGCCGGGTCAATGACGGGGATAGCTCCGCGCCTTTCACGGTAGAACATCAGTCCGTAGCCAACCATGACACTGACCCAATATAAGTTGTAAGAGATCACAGAGCCGTATGTGGCAGAATTGGTCCAACCAAAAAGCGCGTTGAAGATGCCCCAACCACCACCTCCTCCGATCAGCGGGCTACAACAGTTCACGTGCCAGACGCTCTGTCGGATATCATAGGAACCTGGGCCGGCACCAGTCTCTGCGGCATCACCTCCGATAGTGTGGTTCCAGGTGTTGTTCTCCAAGAACCAGACCCCACGCGAGAAAAGACCGGCAGCAACGAGGTAGAGGAAGCAAGTCGAAATAATCAGGAATATCTGCATCGAAGTCTGTCGTCCACCTCTATCGGTATGTCAGCCCTGTATCTTTCTCAATGGCAGCAGAGTCAACATACCGGTAGATAATATAGCCCACTACAAAACCAGCCAAAAGGCCGCAAAACACAGCCAAGGGGAAGGAAGAAGCAGGAAGGCCCAATCCAACGCCACCAACATAGACAACGGCCTCGAGCCCCTCACGGAGAACCGTGATAAATGGCAGGATAAACATAGCATATTTCTCCAACCATCTCTTCACACGGCCCTTCTTTGTCTCATTAGGGTCGTGCTCGTGTTGGAGGGCCCTGGCGAGCTTGATACGCCATTTATCTTGAAGTTTAGACACACGTAGGAGGGCAGCCCCCATGATAGTGATGATGATCGCTGCGACAATTCCAAGAACACCCTCCCAGATATCCTCGGTGCTGGAGAAAGTGTCTGTTCCGAGGCCGTAAAAGCCACCAATCATGCCCGCTCCGACTGCAATACAAATAAATAGCCCTAAGCCGCATCCTAGCCAGACCTGTTTTCTTTTAGTTTGTGAACTTTGGATAGTATTGTAAAGGCCGATCGCATACTTGTTTCGCTAGCCTTTTATATGTTGGTCGGTCTGTCTCGTAAAGCGTTTGCTTCAAGAAGGCCAATAGAACCGACACAACCACAGTTGTCTCGAGACATTCTCGAAAACAAATAAAAAACACTACCAAGTTAGTATGTTGTAGACAACTCCAAAAAGCAGTGCATGAACTATACCTGTGACAGCGAAAACCTGGTTGTTACCCATGATGCTCTTTAGCTCAAGGTTCAAAAAGAGAATCAAAGAACAAATCCTTTGCTTTTCGGAAAGCAAGGGACCCGATAAGGCCCGTTATAGCGCCAAAATATATTTCAAAGTCGAAATTTCAAAGTTCAAAGTTACAAGCACAAGCCTTTGACGACCCACTTGTATTTATCAGATTGAGCTTAGTTTTGTTGGGAGTTCCACGTATCAAAAGCTTTTTTTTCAGGGTCTTGGCTTTATGATTGGCAGCAGTGGATATCTCTTGAACCCAAACGATCACATGTTTAAGGATCTAGCCAAATAAGTTCTGTTGAATCGCAAAAACAACCGGCCGGGAAGGGATAGCAATCATGCCACATTTCCTAATTTGGCAGGCGAGCACAAGTTTCTAACAATCTAATTCGTCTACCACTATATTAAGCGAATCCCCATTTTACCCTGACCTTACCGACCATGGGTTATATCTAGAACTAAACCAATGGAAATTGATGACCTCCCACGTGTATATCCAATACCTAGATTTCCATCTGATTAGGATAAAAGATTGATTAAAATCTGTAAAATACAGGGTCTTCCCGTCTCCCCCAGAGGGATTAAGTTTCCGCTTATCAATCTCGTGTGCCGTTCCGTTCCCAACCTTGGATGGCTTGTACTAGTCTTTTTTTTGTTTTCTTTTCACCTGAAACTTGGAAATCCCTCTCCTTCATTCCTGGCGAAACACCAAAGCATGTCTATATATAATGGCATGCTGTTTCGCCTCACGGCAGTACTGCTTTTTGTGCAGTACTGCCAGGCGAAGACAGTGAAGCTGGATTTCAACGTCACCTGGGTCAATGCGAACCCTGATGGTCTCCATGAGCGCAAGGTGGTGGGTATCAACGGCCAGTGGCCGCTACCTGTTATTGAGGTGGACAAGGGAGATCGTCTGATTGTCAATATGTATAACGGCCTTGGGGATAAGGAAACTTCCATCCATTGGCACGGCATGTTCCAAAATGGCACCAATAATATGGATGGTCCGTCAATGGTGACTCAATGCCCAGTCCCTCCTGGTGCCTCGATTACCTACGACTTCACCATCCCTCAAAATGGTACCTACTGGTATCATTGTCATACCGACTCTTGCTACCCAGATGGTTATCGACAGGCTTTGATTGTGCACGATGATCAATCATATTTCAACGATATGTATGATCATGAGCTTACCGTTACGATGAGTGATTGGTATCATGAGCTTATCGAGGATATTCCCTTCATTCGTGTTGAAAACCCAACGGGAGCTGAGCCTGTTCCGGATTCTTTCCTCTTCAACGACACTTTGAACACCAACATTCCCGTTGAAGCTGGAAAAACCTATTTGATGCGATTGATCAATATTGGTGCCTTTGTGGCGCAGTACTTCTACATCGAAGATCACACGTTCCGCATTGTGGAAATCGATGGAGTATACGTTGACGAGCAAGAAGCCGATACTCTTTATATCGCTGTTGCGCAACGCTATTCCATCTTGGTCACCATGAAGAATTCTACGGATAAAAACTATCCGATCGTGACCGTTGCGGACTCGCTTTTACTGGACGTAATCTCACCCTCTCTCAAGCTTAACCAAACCAATTGGCTCGAGTACAACAGCGAAGCGGCTCATCCGCAAGCTGAGATGAAAGTGGATGTTTCCTCCGACCTTGTCCCATACGATGATATGAAACTTGTTGCTCACGACCGGATGCCGCTCCTCCAAGACCCTGATATGACCATTGAAGTCGATGTCATTATGGATAATCTGAATAACGGTGCGGGCTATGCATTCTTCAACAATATCTCCTACACGAGGCCTAAGGTTCCGACATTATATTCAGTCCTTACATCCGGGGATTACGCCACAAATGCGGAGATTTACGGAGAGTTCACACACCCGTTCATTCTCAAGCACAACGCGGTCATCGAGGTTGTCCTCAATAACCTGGACGGTGGTTCGCACCCCTTCCACTTGCACGGGCACAACTTCCAGCTAGTCAGTCGCACTCCATCATATGGACCTTCTTTCAATGATTACGCCGACGGTGATCCGCTCCCTTTCAATGCCACCGAGCATCCCACCAGCAGCTTCCCGAAATACCCTGCTCGCCGAGATACCCTTGTCGCGCCACCCCAGGGCAATTTTGTTATCCGTTTCGTTGCTGATAACCCTGGTGTGTGGTTGTTCCATTGCCACATCGACTGGCATATGTCACAGGGCTTGGCAATGTCGTTTATCGAAGCCCCGAAGCAAATCCAGGAGCAAATGTCGCTGACAGAGAGCCAAATTAACATCTGCAAGGCAGCCAACATCTCCTACGAAGGCAATGCTGCCGCTAACACGGAAGACCTGCTCGATCTAACCGGTCAGAACAAGCAGCTTCCGTGGCTCCCTGCTGGATTTACGGCGAGGGGAATTGTCGCAATGGTTTTCTCCTGTGTGTCGGCTTTCCTGGGTATGGCATTCATCACTGTCTATGGTATCTCCGGCATTCAAACCAAGCAGGAGACTGCTGCGGTTACCGAGAGTAATAATTCGTGAATCTTTGTACTTTAAAAATGGGGGATTGATTGGATATATATATCTTCTCCCACCCTCTTGGATAGACATACTTGCCATATATTTTGCCCACTTCATTAATGCTTGTTTTCATATTGATTATAAAAAATTACCTATTCTTTTTCATTCATGCACTAGTTATCTCTACAGGTGTATTGCACTGGCTTATTCCTGTCCCCTAACCCGGCCAGCTTACGGGCTGACATTGAGACAACATTGAGGTTGGATTAAGGGACAGATACTCTAGCTATAGGGAAGCTCTTGTGACGATGAAGCTGTTGATAAAAAGGCAGGGAAATGGATTTCAGGAAAAGTAGAGCTAGAGTATCAATATTTCGCGCAATCTCAACCCTCGGTCGTCTACCCTACTTGTGGCCACTTGTGATGGGTCAAATGACTGGGACCTGACAAAGTAGGTTGACTGACTGGTAAATACTGAGATACTCAGCCTGTTTGAGGTAGGGATTTGTATAGCCTAGATTTCAGGAAGCTATTGTGATTGGTACACCAGAGACTGGAAGATGGTTCACGCGCAAACTGAGGACGACCTTCGCCTTGATGTGCTTATGATATATTCCCATGGTAGAGAGGAATTTAAGAATGGTCGAAGAATTAAAAATGCATCAAGCAAGGTTGTAGACAATGAAATTCGTTTAAGTTTGCTTGTGGACAGGAGTTAGGGTTCGGGTTGTGGCATATGCAATGCAATGCAATGGATTTCATTAGCTCAAAAATTGAAAAGGAAAGCCATCGTCGATCGTTCAACGGTTTCACCGATTCGTAGTGGACCGTTTTCCAATTTTAATCCAGGAACAAAAGTCAAAAAAGACACAAAAGTCAAAAAAATACATAAATATGAGATTTTGGCCTACTTTTCGGCGCAATTTCCCCAGATACCTTGGGTCTGAGGTAGAATGCCAATCACAGATTCACCTAGCTGAATGGTTCAAACTGCATGCACTCCGCACTTTATATTGTAGTACACCGCATATGGAACACACCTCATATAAGAGCGGACATGAAACAATTCCCCGAACTACTGAACCTGGCTCTCCATCGCGGTTGTTGGAGTGGACCCCCGGGGGTCGAGGAGAACTGAGCGGATTGGTTTAGCTAGCCCGTCTCTGACACGATTAGACTCCATCTGGAACCAAATGCGCAGGGATCGGCAGAAAAGCCATGAGAGATGGTCGATTGTGAGGGTTAAAAGGGGAAGTTACCTCGGATAGTTCCTCTGAGGTCCCCCAATCCCAATCTAAAACCTGAAACGAACGTGCAAGACGTGTAGGTTCGACCCATTTTTAGTTTTATATGAGAGAATTCAAGTCATTGTGATATATGTAGTCAGATAGATTATTGAATGTGTGTACAACCATGTTTATATGGAATCTGTACGAAAGGGGATATTGGTACATACATAATGTAGTATGCATATAGCCACCCCCTACATTAGGAGAAGTAACAAGAAATGAATTGAACCTTAGAAAATCTTAGACCCCCCCAAAAAATCCCCCTGAACCAGAGTGTTCCCCTTCGCTTGGAAGATAAAATCATCCTTCATCTTAAAAAAATAAACGCTAAACTATTCTGAGCGGTGCACGGTGTCAATTTCTCCAGCTTCCCTAACCATTTTGCCTCCTTTCTCCTGCACAACGGGGACTAGCAGGTACGCGTGTTGATGTTTTCTTATCGGGAAAAAAAAAAGACCCTGACACTTTGAACTTCCCTTACAGACATCTCCTTATTCTGCACCTAATGACTACTCCTTCTATCGATTAACACCTTGAATCCCTTCTATTTCTATTCCACCTGGTGTGGTTCCCTTTGGGAGAGAGATGACAGTCTCACCGCCAGCATCGCCCACTGGCGCACCCCCGCGCCCCATCAGCGCTGTAATGCGCACTCCACGCAGTGCAAGTCGTTTAAGTATGAGCAGCAGACAAGGTGGAAGTCGTGCATCCGATGAGGATGGCAAGACTGCAGTTAAAGTTGGTATGTGGGACATCTGGATTCTTCGCCCCTGATGGTTACCCGGTACCTGAAACAAAGAATCACAACATCGGCCGGCAACTAAATTCACGAACTGACCTCGCGCAGCTGTCCGTGTGCGACCACCACTGAAACCCACCGATCCTGGCTATGAATTGGTTCCTCAGCGATTCCAGCAATCGAAAGTCCATGTAACCGCGCCAACTAGTCTGTCTGTTGACGTGGCTGGTGGGCGCAAGCTATTCGTGTTTGATCGTGTTTTCCCCGAAACCACTGAACAGGAGGGAGTTTGGGAATATGTCAGTGATAGCGTCGACTCATTTGTTCAGGGATACAATGTCTCCATTATGGCATATGGCCAGTCCGGTGCGGGAAAGTCCTTCACAATGGGTACTTCGGGTCCCACAGAGCAGAATAACATGCAAAATATGGGTGAGTTTGAAAGAGGCTTGTTTACCAATTACCGACTAATTGTAGAATCTTGAACTAGGTATCATCCCCCGTGCTGCGCAGGCCTTGTTCGATAAATTAGAAGGTCCCTCAAAACATAGTCGAAATGGCTCGAACACGACTACTGGCCTCCGAACACCCCAACGATATTCAATGTCTTCCGCTGCAAGTTTTGGGAAATTGAACCAGGAAAAAGAAAAGACCTGGCAACTGAAGGCTACATATGTGGAGGTGCGCTTACATTTGGAAGGTGCCTGCTGGCCATTGTTCTGACCGTTTGTCCTATACAGATCTATAATGAGCACCTGAGGGATTTGCTCCTTCCCGAATCGACAGTCGCAAACGATCGCAGCAACGTAACCATTCGTGAAGATACCAAGGGTCGCATTCTTCTCACCGGATTGCACCAAGTCAACATCAACTCGTTCGAAGATCTGATCGGTGCCCTGAACTTTGGCTCGACCATCCGTCAAACAGACTCCACCGCAATCAACGCCAAATCATCTCGATCGCATGCTGTTTTCAGTCTGAACCTTGTGCAGCGCAAGTCTTCACCAACCCACACGACCCCGAGCCCCATAAAGGAGAAGCGCATGTCTATGCCGGTCGACACGTTCCACGCTGGGGAAACGGTCACTGTTGATAGCAAATTGCACTTTGTGGATCTTGCAGGTAGTGAACGGCTGAAGAACACCGGTGCCTCTGGAGAACGCGCCAAGGAGGGTATCTCTATTAATGCTGGTTTGGCCGCACTTGGCAAGGTCATCTCGCAGCTTTCCTCGCGACAACAGGGCTCTCACGTCTCCTACCGCGATTCAAAGCTTACCCGACTACTCCAGGATTCACTCGGTGGAAACGCATTTACGTATATGATTGCTTGTGTGACTCCCGCCGAGTTCCACATGAGCGAGACTTTGAACACAATCTCATATGCTCAGCGGGCCAGAGCCATTCAGAGCAAACCTCACATTCAGCATATTGCAGACGACGGTGATAAGCAGGCTCTGATTGACCGGCTCAAGTCCGAGATCTCTTTCTTACGCCTACAGATCCGTAACTCTGAAGGATCTGAGCGACGGGAAGGACCATCCACCGAACGAAGTGAACGCAAGAACGAACGCGAAAAGCACTTGCAGAATCAGTTGTTGGATGTCCAGGAGAGCTATAATTCTCTCAGCCAACGTCACGCCAAACTGATTTCGAATATGGCCAATGATTCGGAGTCACATTCCACCAGTGGCGAAATGATCGACGCTACCTCCGAGATTGGAAAGAACTCGGTGGAGAGAATGCAGCGGTCTAAGTCATTTGCCGAATCTGTGGAGCAGATGGTTTTGGAGTACGAAAAGACCATTCAAAGCTTAGAGGCTTCACTCTCTGAAACACGCGCCTCCCTATCTATCACGGAGAGTGATTTACTCGAACGTGAGACCAAGTGCGCCTATATCGAGACTATGAAGGAGCAGCTTCAGGCTCGTGTCCAGAAGATGCACGACCGGGAAATCAACACTGAGACCTACCTCCACGAATTGGAGTCTAAGCTTGATGGTCACTCTACAGGCGAAGAGAAGCATGCTGCCATTGTTGCCGAACTGCGCAAGGAATTAAGCCGAGCCCGCGATAATGAAGCCAGCTGTGAGGAATACATTTCGACGCTTGAAGAACGACTTGCCGAGGGTGATCAGGACATGGAACTCATGCAGCGCGAGGTAATGCGCTTGGAACATGTCATTGAGCGCCAGCGAGGCCTCGGGCAACTAGACCGCCTGCTCGGCGACCTGGACGAACAAAATCGCGGAGATAGACACGATAGCGCCAACGGAATTGACTACCCGCATTATCACCAGACCAGGGGCATGCAGACTGCTCACAGACACACACCCTCTCTGGACGTTCTCAGCGAAGCAGTTGAGACAGCCATTCCCGAATCAGATGAGGATCTTCTAGAGCCGACCATAGAGGCCGAGCTTGAGTCCATTGGAGAATCCGAGCCGGAGACAGGTGAGGACTTGAAGGTTCTAGAAACTGCGACCAGCAAACTGGAGGCCCGTCGCACGGAGGCTCTTCGTGAGGATCCCGTCTCAAGTCCCGCCCAGTCCAAGTTCGTTGCCGACAAGCTTGAGACTGTCACTCAGGAGCTTTTCGACCTACGTCTGCAGCACGAGAACACCATTGGTGAATTCGAGACCCTCGAATCCAAGTACGAACAGGCTCTCAAAGCCCTTGAGGAGCTTCGCCAGGATAAACTTGACGAAGCCCGCCACCCGGCACCCAGCGTGCAAAACGAACTTTCGCCAGGACCGGTGACTTTTTTAGGAAATGGAGGCACTCCGACCTCGAAGTCTGGAGCACAACACTCATTCTCGCAACCGCTCTCTTCGGAATTATCCTCGGCCGGGGAGCAATCTACTTTGCGCGGATTCTCTGAGGATGGATCCAAGGCAATTTCATCCACGCCCTCAACCCCGCAGGTACTGTCGGCCGCTAAGGTAAATTCTGACGAGTCCGAGAACATGCGCAAGATGCTTGCCGAGCATCAGGAG